GCAGTGGCTTTGCTGGTGGTAGAGCGGCAGTGCTGGGTGTGCAGGGCTCCCTTCGTGGAGCAGCAAGGGAGGGCAGGGGCTGGGGAAAAATTCCAAAGCTGGCTGGAGGGGCAGAGTGGTGGGGGATGGGACACATGGAGGAGGGCATGACATTTGGTAACCCTGGATTTGTAATAAATATCACTGCTGCCCTGCACCCTTCACGTGTAGTTCTGGAAGCACGTTGCACACGTTAATGCACAGCCTTACCCTCCCCCTGGGAGGCAGGGCAGGGTAATTACCCCCATTTCCTAGGTCGGGAAACTGAGGAGCAGAGAGAGTGAGGGGGAGATTTTCCAAGGGCAGTGAGTTGCTCAACTCTGGCTGAGAGTCGATGGGAACTGGGTGTCTGATTGCCTTGGAAAACCAGCCCATGAGGAACTGACTGAGGTCTCTGTCAGTCGGCGGTGGAGCCAGGAGTAGAAGCCAGATCATGTGGAGACACGTGCGTGTGGACACACACACTTTAGTGGGTGTAAAGTCTATATAAAAACGCCTGCTGAAGGGATTTTGCTTAAACTAAAAAACATAAAATTCCAGTGTGGACAGGGGCCAAACATGAAAGGCGCTGCCCAAAGAGTGAACGTTTCAGAAATGTGTGTGTGGAAAGGGGAGGTTCTCACTGAAAAGGTCTGGCAGTCTGGATATGTGGCAGATTGCAGGCAATTGCTCCAATCAGACCTGGACAATGAAATCATTTTTTAAAATTAGATTTTGAGAAATAATTTTCTCCCTCTCCTTCTTCCACTGTAGGAAGTAGTTTCCTAGAGTATGGGGGAAACTGAGGAAAGACGTGGTGTTTCCTCTGTAACTCTTTTCCCCACAGTCACTCCTTCCATTTTCTCCCCTGGACATTCCCCTCCTTGCGTCCGTCCTTCCTGCCCAGAAACAGGAAGGCTTGGCAGAGCTGAGTCTGTGTCGTCCCGTGTCCCCCCCCCCCCCAGTCCGTGTGTGATAGGCTGGAACAACTTGGATCCTGGTGGATCGGCACCGGGGAGGGAGGGGGGGAAGCAGTGACATGCCCTCCCCAGTGGGTTACGTTTGCTTTCTGCGTATGCCTGTGTGAGGCTCCCAAGTACGTGCTCAGATGTTTGCGCTGGTTGGGTGCTGAGCATTTCTGCCATCTGGCCCCTCTAGGCGCCTAAATGGGCGCTGAGCGCTTTGGCGAATCCGCCTCCTGCGTGGGGGGAGCGCTGGGGCAGCTGGCCCTGAGCTCTCCCTGCACTCAGGGCTGTCCATGCTGAGGAGTCCTCCAGTGAGAAGGCTACTGAGATCCGAGCATGGGGGCCTCAGCCATCACAAGAGAGGCTCACTCGGAACCTGGGCTGGGCCAGTCAGTGCCTAAAGCGGTGCTGTATTACAAGGGCTGATCCTGCATTGCGCCGTGTGGCTGCAAGGTGGCGTGCACAAGGCTGTATTGTGTTTTCAGAGGGCTCCTAGGCACTATGGCAAGGCAAATAATATTACAGGGGTAGGAAAGGCATGCCAGATGCAGGGGTGTGGCATGCGTTTGGAGGGTGTCGCAGGGAGGGGAGCTCTTTACAGTTATAACTGGCTCATAGCTGCTCTGTATGGGGTGGCTGGAGCTGCACAGCGAGGCCACCAGCAGGGAATTGGATGGGTGCGTAGGGCAGCCACTGGCTTGGGGAAACTTTCATTTTCCACATGTGCATCTATCCCAGGCCCAGCTCTGCCCAGCACCAGACTGCTCTACAGTATTATTGGTACAGCCCCCTCCATTGTTTGTACCCACAATGCATGTATGTGCACTATCACGTGCCACATGGGATACTGGTTTGCAGCTCCCAGTGGGCAAGTGACCACATCTTATAACTGGTACGCATGGGCTGTCTCTGCAGTAGGCCAAGGGCAGAATGGACTGCATTAGTAGGAGCATTGCCAGCAGATCGAGGGAAGTGATTATTTCCCTCTATTTGGCACTGGTGAGGCCAGGAGCGCCGCCAGCTTTTCTCCCGCCCTAGGCGGCGGAAGGTCCCGCCCCGAAATGCCGCCCCCCACAGAGGCGGCGGAAGGTCCCGCCGCCGAAATACTGCTGCGGTTGCTGCCCCCCAAATTGTAGCGCCCTAGGCAACCACCTAGGTCACCTAATGGGTTGCGCCGGCCCTGGGTGAGGCCACATCTGGAGTACTGTCCAGCTTTGGTCCCACTACAAGAAGGATGTGGACAATTTGGAAAGAGTCCAGCGGAGGGCAACGAAAATGATTAGGGGGCTGGAGCACATGACTTATGAGGAGAGGCTGAGGGAACTGGGATTGTTTAGTCTGCAAAAGAGAAGAGTGAGGGGGGATTTGATAGCTGCTTTCAACTACCTGAAGTGGGGTTCCAAAGAGGATGAGCTCGGCTGTTCTCTGTGGTGGCAGATGACAGAACAAGGAGCAATGGTCTCAAGTTGCAGTGGGGGAGGTTTAGGTTGGATATTAGGAAACACTGTTTCACTAGGAGGGTCGTGAAGCACTGGGATGGGTTCCCTAGGGAGGTGGTGGAATCTCCATCCTTAGAGGTTTTTAAGGTCAGGCTTGACAAAGTCCTGGCTGGGATGATTGTTGGGGTTGGTCCTGCTTTGAGCAGGGGGTTGGACTAGATACCTCCTGAGGTCTCTTCCAACCCTGAGATTCTATGACTGCAGGGACTGGACCATGCTCCTATCCCTGAGGCAGCCTCTCTGGCCCATAACTGGGGCAAGCTAGCAGGGGGCAACTTGCCTTGCAGCTGCCCACACGCTTTCTGGAGCCAGCTAGAGGACTCCAGTCCTCAGGGCTTCCTGTGTAGCATCTCCCACCAGCCCCTTGGACATGGACCATGTTGGAAGGGACTGTGCTGAGCTCCTTGCCCAATGGACACCCAACTTGCAGAGAAGTCAGCAGGAATCCAGCACCCACTAAGGGGCAAGCACTGTGCCTAAAGAACAATCCATCTGCCTTGGGACACCCCTGTGAGCATCCCCAGGTTCCCCCTGTGCTTGCCAGCCACCTAGATGCTGATAGCTGTGAGCATCACAGCCCTGAGGACGGTGTGGAGCTACACCAGGCCATGCAGGGCCAAGGAAACCCTGCTTCTTACTAGATCATTTCATCAGAGAGGGGCTGGCTTGTTGCAAACCCCAGCTCTTTTAGTTAGCTAATATGCTCCCAGCACAGCAAGTGCAGGTCACTGGCTCAAGTCTCATGCTGCATATGAGTGTGAGCTACTCAGGAGCTCAAACCAAAACAAACCCTGGAAGGTTTGCCCAGTCAGGAATTGCATCCCCAATCCAAGCAGATAATAAACATGCTTAATGTGCTGTCATGCACACGCTGCTTGCCATGTGCTTCCGTGGAGATATCCTCTGGAAGCTCAGACTCCACACACCCACTCTCACATCTGTAACCACATGCATGCTATGCACACATGCATACATACTACTCTCACATGCATACAGATTACAGTCACCTCCTCCCCATGCACTTCATTAGCACCTGATTCTGCATGACTGCAGTCAATAGGAGCTTTACTGTTGATTTCAGCGGGTGCAGAAGCAGGCTCGTATTGTGTACACAAAAGATACAATCCCACACATATCTACATGCACACACACCTGTGCGTGTCCATACACACATAGCCTCCCTCTATTTTTTAATCATCCTGTAGGGTGAAACTCAAGTTCCCTGAACTGCACCCCACTTTCATTTATAAATGGCTGAAAACAATGAAGAAAACGCTGGTGAAGTGCCAGGCTGGTCACTCGCACAAGGCTCTGTGTTTTCAGTAGAACAATGCTGCCATTTCTGAATCTTCCTTCTGATGGGTGTGCAGCTGTGGTGACATTTTCAAAAGAAATACTTGTAGTTTTAAAATAGATCTGTATTTCTCCAGGGGAGATTGTATCCCCATGCCCTTCCCCTTCCCTATTTCCCCCTCCTTCTCATGCATTTCTGCATTCCATAGGAATCCACGATGAAGTTGCTAAGGCATCAGAAAACAATTGCAACCCCTGAATATTGCTGTTGTGCACAAGTAATGCAAGTTCCTTACTTGCGGGCTGGGTCAACCTAAGCACAACGGTGTCAGCTAAGGACAGAGGCTGTCTCGGAGCTTTGCATTTCAGTGCTGTAGGGTTATCACTACGATACTGTAGGGTTGAAGGATCCATTTGGGGCCAAGTCTTGCAGCCCTGGGCTCTGATATCCTGGGAGTCTTCCCTAAAGAGAGGCTGAATTTGTCTTTGTGCTGCACTTCCTTGGGTTTGAATATTAGTAAAACACGTACAACAACCATCATCCAGATGCCCAAAATAGCCAGCCATGAAACACAGGAATCAACAGAACTGAAGGCCTATTCTGTGACTATATAGGGAGAGTATTTACCAAAAGACACCTCATTTGTACATCACAGAACGTAATTGCCACACACAGTCCTACATTCTGGAGTGTTTCGTTTGCAAACACCTATGGAGAGCAGTTTATAAAATGCTATTTCTACACCCAGCCCTTTCCTTTTGTGTCTGAAATGGGTATCTGTAATGCCTCGTGCAGGCACACGGATAATGGCTCTGTACTCTGGCCACAAAATTCCCTTGAGTGAAGTTGTATTTCTCACTCTCCAGCAGTTGTCGCTTTCTAAAATTGCTATTTTTCCCTGCTCAAAGACTGTTTAGATTCTCTCTTGACCAGTGTGTGGTCTCTCTGGAGCACAGTCACACAGTACCTGAGAGAGAGACACACACACACACACACACACACACACACACACAACAAATATAGCGGTACACA